CCAAACTCAACACTTCGCTATTAATATACCTACTGAATAGACGTATTCCGTGCTACGCGTCTGTTTCCCTTATAGCTGGGCTATAGCTTAGCTTGTTCTTGGAGTCTAGCTAGATGTTGGAGAATCTGCCATAGAGATTTCTGAGTCGGTCAGGCTTTACTAGCGTAGCAATCCGCTACACTCGAATCCAACTGATTGAGAAGGGGTTACACCGAGGAATTCCGATTCTGCATGCTCCATGGGTTCGGAGTTTTTGGTTGGCCTGTCTTCAGGAATGCCATTCACATGCAATGCTGGAGGGGTTCTATCTTCAGCAACTGAGGCACTGGTTGTAATCAAACTTCCAGTGGAAGTTGGAAGAGAGCTAAGAGTTGTCAATGGAGTGCTGATCGTCGTGATAGGCTGCAGTGCTATAGAACTGACAGTAGGGAGAGCAGAAGTACGACCTAGAGATTCCCACAAATTTTGCCTCTCTTTCGGATCGACTATCCATAAACATCCTCTTCCTCGACCCTTTAAATATAATGGACTTGCATACACTTCGTCTCCGACGATTCAATAGCCAAAAAGATCAGATGCTTGTAACTGATACCTGGACTTAGATCATCATCATTCCCAGCATTGACAACCACCTGAGTAGTGAAGGCAGGAGCAAGTGGCACAATTGTGGGATGACTCGGGATCGAAGTGACGAAAATGGGTTGAGGCGATTCAACGACTAATTGATTTTGAGTCTGAACTCAGATTGCATTGGTAACCATTGCAGTAGATCCAGTTACATTTACTCCATGATTCCTTGGTGCGATATTTACCATGGAGTACATGGGTTGGTGTGATTCAATGCCTGATTGATTTTGAGTCTGAACTCGGTTTATACTGGTAACCATTGTAGAAGATCCAGTTACATTTCCTCCATGATTCGCTGATACAATATTTCTCATAGAAAACATGGGTTGGTGTGATTCAATGCCTGATTGATTTTAAGTCTGAACTCCGTTTGTCCTGGTCACCATTGTAGAAGTTTCAGTTTCATTCACACCATGATTCGTAGGGACGATTTTTAAATCACCTGGACTCCGAAGCCTGCTAAGAGGAATCGACATACTCCGTTGTCGTGGCTTCACACTGTTAACTATCAAGAAAGAAGCTCTCTCCGAACCCATCGAGTGTCGTTGTAAAGGATTCGGGAATTTGTAATGAATGGAATTTGATGCCTATGTTTAAGGAAAGATCAAACTTGTAAAAAGGAAATATGTGTACACCCAGGTCAGTATATTAATAATACATTTAAACATTTTTCAGGCACAACGTAAAATCGTTGATGTTATGCAGAATATTTAAAATAAAGAAACTAACCTCCATGGGTTTGGACTTGCGTACTCAAATGAATATTCTACATGCGCACTGATAACGCCTAAATACAGTACAAATATGCGCCTCCAATAATAATCATGACCTTATTCTCAGTGAACAGATTTAAACAAACTCCTTATTTTAATTTACTAATATTGATCACTATTATTTGTATCGACTCATAATACAGAAGACAAAAAATTTTAAAAAAGAATTATTAAATATGTTTCCTGAACTTTTGATATTTGCATTTTCCATTTCAAATAGCTGAAACAAGAAATGATTAGGCATATTGGCCAATAACCTATATATTTTATAAAATGAAGACCCCAACTTTGAACCAAGAAAGTTAAATTAATTTTGCGTTTACTGTAGAAATACTTTGTCAGTTTATCGAAAGCAACTGAAATTGCTTCAAGCCAAACCACCTATAATCAATCTGTTTTACTAAATCAATATTGCAATCACTTTCTTCAGGACTGGACTTCAAGTCTATTCTGTAATGCTTTTGCCCGATTATGGAGATTTTTGTCTCCTTTACATCAGTTGTGAAGTTAGAGTGTTAGTATTTTTTAAAGGATAGTTAGTAAAATACTTGGTGAAGAATTTCCACTCTTCGGGTGGTGGTTCATAGGTGTTCTGGTTCTGACTATTTATTCGGTAGAGTGATGAAATATATATGGAAATAGATCCGAATATTTCCTAATGGTGACTTTGTTTTTGCCATTGCTAATGATTTTAGAAAGCCCGAATGTGAGCAAATTCCCTTCCTTCAGATATAAAAGAAAACGTTTATCTTAATTGACCAAGTTCTAAAACTTGGGAGGTTGAAGGATTGGGGTGGGTTAGGGGAAGATGGGTCACACCACATTCCTCTTTAGAGTTACATAACAGTTTGTTTCGACGCTTTCATGTCGTTAGCCTCCATTATTCCTGTATAGTTGGAAGCCACAATGGCATAGTCACAGCATCAATTGACTAAGCGCAAAAGTCACGTGGCTACTGATTGTGGTCTTCGGTTGGAAGTTAGGAGGAGCATTCTGTTCATGTGTCTACACTGGCGTCTCTCTGGACAGCAAATACATTTCCTCCCTGTCTTACTTCTTCACCCCCAAAGTGTGAAATCGATTAATGTAGAAGGAACATTGAGAAAAATATGTGGACGTGAGCTTGTTCAATTAATAAGCCAACTTTATAAATAAAGTCGGAAGCCAGTCACTGATCAAATTGGGACTTGGTAGTGGTTTTTATTTCACCTTTGAGTGTTAGAGAAAGCACTTCCATTCAGTGTTTGTGAGAGTTATTGTATTTGCTAATTGATGAGAATGTACATTTTGATGATCTAAGTCTTGGCGCTATGTGCTCCAATTTACTTCAAATTTCCTCTGGTTGAAATGCTTAAAAATGTTTGCTTGTTGTAGATGACTGAACGAGAGTAACTCT